TGCTTGGATACTTTGAAATGGTCGAAGAGCTAACTCGCAACCTCCTAATGTTGTTTTTCTCATCACCTTTTTATTTATCCTTTGGCAAATTATACATCTTTCAGTTACTTGCTTTGCTACTCCAAAAATCCCAATGCACCCATAGTTCTTTAACACCTCCTATCTTGGTTTTTTTTTTTTCTCTGCTTCACTAAACTTTGGAATGTCAAATTTTTCCTCATTTGGAGTTAATATTAACATAACTCTTCCAGGTCCATTTTCTGCTGCATCCTTAGCTTCCTGATCTGCCAAATTATTTCCTCTTATTTCTGAGGTCTTTACCTCTTGATGTTCCTTAATATGTACTATAGTTATCTCTTTTAGGTAATTTTAATGCCTCTAATGAAGCAATTCGTGGAATAAATAGACTCCACAACCTGATGTAGTTATGAAGTGGGTATATATGTCAGCACCCGGAACAAGTGAAAACTTGTGCCCCTAGCCTCAGTCTGACCCACATCTTTATTCACAAAGGTGTTCCATATGCAATACATTGCATAACCTTGTCATGCATATGCAAGAAGCTTCAGAAATTTGCATTTCCTATGCCCTTTGTACCATGGCAGAGGTTTCTTAAGTAAAAGGTTAAAATTAAACACATAATTCTACAAGCTAAAATTTAAATGCTTAATTCATTTAGTTAACTCAAGTGAACTTCAAAAATTTCTATTTCACTAAAACCTCTGAAATAAGTTCCTTATATACTAATCCTTTTCCTCTTGAATTAAGTCATCTCCCTTTTTAAATTTTTTAAAGGTATGTACTACTCTAAAGGTGTACCTTGAATCAGTATATACAGTTCCTTTATTTTGTGCTAAATATTCTAGTGCTTTTTTTAAAGTATATAATTCACAAGTTTGAGCTTACTAGTTTAAGGTTAATTTCCCTTTGTCCATAGTTTGCATGTTTTTCCCATCAACTACTGCATACCCTGTATTTTTTTTTTCTTTTGCAAGGAGTTGTATTTCTGTTAGCTAACATAACTCCCAAAGGGCTATCTTGGGGTATCTCTGCTAGTATGCTTTTATTCCCCCTTTTTTTCCTGTATCCAACTTACTGGTTTTCTGTTCCATTTTTAAGATGTTATCTATTCATCCCCTGCCTCTGTTTCTCAATTTCACTAACAGCTTAAATACCACATTTCTTTCAACTACACACACACAAAAATAAAAAACCTTTTTTTCACACTACTTTTCAATACAATACACCTCCCTCCAAGGAGATATAATAAAGCTTAAAATACACACTCTACATTACATATACTTTAATTCGTCTACATTCACTCAGAAGGGCCCTGACTGGTGGCCTCTGGTGCCAGTTCACCTGTGAGGCTAATTTGTGTGTCATTCACACTCTGGGAGAACAATGACCTGTTTTCAGGTCACACACACATTCTGCCACAGCCCCCACCCGCCCGAGGGAGTTCTGGCTGATTTTGTGTTTGACTCTCACACACACAAAAAGACAACAGTAAGGTACCTTTTACTTTCAAATCACCTATTACAATTTTAGGTGTTACTGGCCAGTCCTGGCGCTCTTGGATATCCCTCAACCGAGCTGTGCTATCCAACCCCAGATGCTCTTGGGCAATTTTATCCCTCAACCCAGCTGTGTTGTCCAAACCCAGATGCTCTTGGACATTTTTTTTAATCCCTCAATCTAGCTGTGTTGTCCAACCCCAGATGCTCTTGGGCACTCTTATCCCTCAATCCAGCAGAATTTTTAGGGGTCCCTTCCTTTTGTCCCGTTTCCTAGTGGATTGGGCTAGGAAACTCCTCTGCTCCTTTCCTCCAAGGAGTCCAACCCCTCCCTGAGACCCAGTCCCAGTTACCCCGGGGGATTCTCTCACTCCTTTTATCTCTTTTATCGTCTCTTTACTGGCCGCTTTTCTCAAGAAAAGATGGAAACCCAGCATGGGAGACCCCGCACTCACTTGGCAGGTCTGGGATAACCAGCCTGCCTCTCATTCACACACATTCATCCCCCCCGTACCTGCCCCCCAAAAAGTACTTACCAATCCTTTTTCCTTTCCAGGTTCTTCTTGTGCACTACTAGTCTTAGGGGCTCAATTACCAGGGTTTTAGGGAGCCTTTTCCCCTTTTCTTTGTTTTATTGCCTCCTTTTGTCCACTGATCGTAACCTGCGTCTGTCGGTCACAGTAAGGGAAACAGCAAGGCTGCCTAATCGGGCAGGGTGTGCCTTCCTCACCCTGACTCTCCTAAGGCACTGGCAGCGAGGTGTTAGTAACCATCCTCTGCTACCTATCTGTGAAAAACGCCAATCACTTGTTTTTAGAATTTTAAAAAGTCTGTGATTTTGGCTGAGGGGTGTGGGGTTAGGCTCAGGTCCTCGCTCGCTCTCTCGGATCGGGGCGGGGGGGGGAAATGGTTGAATTGCCGCTACCGCGGGGAGAATTCACTGCCACTGTGAAGTCCAGCCCCTGTACTGCTTCTTCCTTACGGTGGGTGAGCCTTTGCTTGTAAGAGCGGACATTGAACTGGGACCTTATTGACATCGCAGTAGAAAGGACCCTCACCATCTAATCGGGTGCCTCAGGGGAAAAAACCTGGGACTCCAAACTCCTCCCCCTTCCCTGAGGGCGCATCTCCTGGCTATGTGGCACAGCTGCTTGCAGACACCTGGCTGCCGCTGCCCAGCCCCATTGTTTTCTGCTGTTGTCTTGGTCTTTTTCTCTACATTTTAACCCAGCACCCTGTGCCTGCCAGGACACCCCGCGGCTGCTGCTACAGCTGCGGAGTTTCTGCTACATTTTGTTTGCTACCCTGGATGTGCCCGCCTCTGCCATTCCAGCCGCTGCTCAGAGGTTCCTGCTACAGCCCATTCCACCATCCAGAGGGGCACTGAGAACGGCTGCCCCTGGGGGTTTTTAAAACAAGCTCCTTTTCCATCTCTTCTGCCAGCTCGCCCACCATTACCTACATGCAGAGAGGCGGCTGACCGTGCGTCACAGTGCCCCCTGCAGCCACGGAAGAATTATCGCACCTGCCCCACCTGGCCAGGAGCCAACAGCGCCCCCACCAGCTGTGACCATACCTACACCAAAGGGGAAAGTGCTTGGCAGCCATGAGAAGGCTGTTATTTGGTTTCTGGTTTTCTTTGTTGTTGCTGCCATTGTGGTTGTTTGGTTGCCTTGTTATACATAGTAGTAAAGAAGTGTTATTCTTTTTTCCCCCATATCTTTGCCTGAAAGCCCCTTAATTTCAAAGTTATAATAATTTAGAGGGAAGGGGGTCATATTTTCTATTTCAAAGGAGGTTCCCACCTTCCTTGGCAGACACCTGTCTTTTGAACTAAGACAAAAGGGGTTTCACTTTTACATTGTTACTTGTATAAAGGTACACGATCAGATGTTTATTTTGGAACTTTGTGGTCTGGCATACCCATCTGCTGTCCAGGCACCTGGGCATGTCAATCATGAAGCCCCTGTTTTCCTAAAATTGCATGTATTATTTTGAAAAGGTACATATGTTTAAAGGTTCACACAGCAGTCAACTTTGGTTCAGGCTCCACATAGGGCCTACCACATCACCTCCTGTGCATGGTATGAGGTGGTATAGAATAACCTCAGGGTCCTGGCCTTAACCCATCTGGCTGCTGCAAAAATTAACTCTTTCCTGGCCAGAATCAGGACACTCCTTCAAAGCAAAAGTGGCCATGGTACTTTAGTTTCTTTGTTCCTCTTTAGTTTTTACTTTCTCAACTCCTATTTGTGAAAAATTGAGTAGAAGATAAAGAATTTTTGTAAAGTAATAAGGGATTAAGTAAGCGAAAAAAAATCCAGTGCTGGGGTGCTCCTGGCCAACAGCCAAAGAACACTGCTGGTCTATCCAGACAGTGTTATCTTTATACATGTATATTCATGTGTTTCATACATTATTCAAACATTCTTTTGAACTTTCTGATGTTTTGGGGAACTCTCTTTGTTTGGCTTCTTCACACTCTGGCTTATCTGCAAGACATCCTGTGTGTCAGGTCAATATATTTTATTTCTTCTTGTGTCTCCATCCTGCTGTTTCACATCCTCTGATAAGGATTTAGTATGGCCTCCTTAAATTTAACACTGGTATTCTCTAATTGTCCTGCAGTGCTCTGGTTTGTGTCACAGTTATCTTATTTTGGACAGGTCATTCAGTGGATGGCCTTACACTGTTTTTAGCTACACAAAAGTCTTTTTTACATCTTATGTTTTGCTAAGGTCTATAATACAATACAGTCATCACACTAGTATTTCCATAAGAGATACATAGATATTATAGTCATTACACTACTATTTCTATGAGCAACATAGTGCATACTTAAGATGATAGATTATATTATATTAACAAGCAGCTAAAAAGAGTTATAATTGATACTATTTCTAAATACTTATAATCACTAACAACATACATAAGCTAATACATAAATGTGAAAGCAAATATTATCTGGTCATTTATCACACATTTGACTGCCCTTTCCACTCCTTGTTCCTGCAGTCTCAAGCCTGACAATTCCTGAAATTTTTACTCGAAAAATCATGAATGAGGGAGGTTGAAAATTCTTTAATGAAAATGAATATGGAACATTGCAATGTATTTATGGATTTTCATTGTAATTTTGTGTGTGTGCTTTATTTGATGTCCATTTTTGTACTTTGGATTCCTCTTCTCATTTTCTTCCAACAAAACTGAGACAGACATGAAGATAAAAATACTCATTAGTTTGTCTAATAAGTATATTTCATCCTTTTAATTTAATTGTTCAATCTTTAGGTATAATTTACATTTTGTGTTTTGCTTTCATTTTTGCCATGTTTTATAACAGGAACAGGCTTCCTGGGTGTGTCAGTGTGATGACAATATGGTTCAAAAACTAGAAACAGATTTCAAGATGACTCTTCAGCAGCAGAGCACTCTAGAGCAGTGGGCGGCCTGGCTTGATAATGTAATGGTGCAAGCATTGAAACCATATGAAGGAAGACCCAGTTTTCCTAAAGCAGCACGGCAATTTCTTTTAAAATGGTCTTTCTACAGGTAGTCTTCTAAATTATTTTAGCTATTTTATTATTTGCTCAATAGTATGCCATAATAATGTTGAAAAAAGTTATATCAGGCAATAGTTCCCAAGAAATGTAGAGCTTTCCCCCCACCCTCCAAAAGATCAGTGTTCTTAACATTAAACACAGTGATATGTGCAACTCAGCAGCAGATGAAATTATCCTTGTATATTGTTTTATAGGCCTTGTGCAAGTATAATGTGGTTAGAATTTTATCCTGATTTGGAAACATGCTATGAAATATTTTGGATTGAATAGCTGTACAATTTTAAAGCCAATGTTTTACTATTAGTTATTAAAATACCATGAGTTCTATTTTTATTATGTAGGGACAATTTTTTTTTTTTAATTGTGTAAAAAGAACAAGACAAATGTTCTATGTCATTTGCTACTGTATCAGTTATCATAGTAAAGCTATTTTTTTTCAAAATGCTGCATGATAGCATTTACTTTGTGAGAATATCATATGGATGTTTTAATCCACAATCTGCATTTTTCTATTATAAGGTATACACAAACTTATCTAAATTTTAAAAGTTTAAAAATCATACCAATTAAAACCTTTGAACTAGGAATGGGAGCATAACAGACACTATTTTAAAAGACCACTTTGTTTAAAATTAAATAACTTTAATACAATTTTGTTATTTAAAATTTTAACAAAGAACTTCCTTTTGCTAAGTTTGGTTTTTACATGTGTTCACATATTAGTAATTGTGCATACACCAAAAAACCCCTTCCTGCCTTTTTGAAAATTTAGCTTCTAGTTGTGTAATATGGTCTCTAACCATGCTTTCAAAAAAGGGGAGAGACAAATAATTGTCTTTCACAGACATTTATTTCTGAAGACATCATAAATCAGATGGTTTTGAATAGCATTACTTTATTATTCTTGAAGTGTATATTCCATATGAATAAATTGTTAAAGAATTGTGATATTTATTTCATATTTTCTCCCCCATATTTAAATAGCTCAATGGTGATTCGAGATTTAACTTTACGCAGTGCTGCTAGCTTTGGCTCTTTTCATCTGATCCGCTTGCTTTACGATGAATACATGTTTTACTTAGTAGAACATCGTGTTGCTCAGGCAACAGGAGAAACACCTATCGCAGTTATGGGAGAGGTAAGATAATACGCAAGAAAATGGATTGATGAATTTAGCAGTAAATTCAGATATGCATTTTCAGGTTTTTTAACATTTACATGGACCTATGGGATATTTTTTAATAATATTTGTAATCTGTTGTAGATTGAGTTGCAAATACATTGGCATCTTCAAATTTGGGTTATATACCTTCATTCATGTTTCACACAAATGAAATTAAAGTAGCACAGAAGTACTTGCAGGATTGGGACATGGCATAATTTCATGCCTATATTTCAATGTATTTTGTTTAAAATAAACAGAACAAAGTATAAATTCAGAAACACTGTGTCTTATATGTGTTTATGGTATTTGCAATCTGAAGTTTTCCTCACTCTTTTTTTTTTTTTTTTTCAGTAGCTCTCCTAACCATTAATTTTGTGTAAGTTGCTTAAGAATTCACATTATCTTAGGAGTTATCATCAAGGAATTGTACTTTTAAAGTTCTAGAAAATGGATGTGGACATACAATAGATAGTTCACCAGACTGAAGCTTGATGTTTTCATACTTGATGATCATTATATCATGTTTAATCTTACTGATAAGTTGTAAGTCACCTTGCATGACTTGATATATAATTTTTTCCTCAGGATATATTAAAAAGTATAATTAAATATTATAAAAATATGTACATTTTCATAGAGATTGGAAGTCTTGGCTTAATTTGTAGTTTGATTAATCTGACATGTAAAAAAGAAATTACTTTCTGATTAGATACTTGAACTCTGCCATTACATTTATAGCAAAGTATTGCAAAAGTATAATATTGCTACATTCTTGTTTTCTTGACATAGTATATGTCAAATGTAATGCTTTTGGTGTACTGTGGGACTTCCGAGAATGTTTTGGTAAACTTAAGACAGATATTATCTTAGAGAGAAAACATGTAATCTAAAGTTTTGAGAGATGAGAGGGGAACAGGGAAGTTGTAAACATTCATTAAATGCATGGTTTCTTGTGTTTCTCTGCCTTTACTGACTAGTTGAAATAAAATGGGAAAGACTAAGGCTAGTTTGACAAACACTTGAAGCCATTATGAACTGTCTTTATGGCTGAGAAAAAGTTTCCTCCTCTCCCATCCCCTTAGATTTGTAGATTGATGCTGGCACAAGTCCTCAGACAGTCCTGTGGTTAACTGGATCAGAGAATTAATCCTGTCCGAAATAATCCCTTAGGCTATTTTTATTTGGTTAGTTCAGTCATGTGGTTCTTTGCATGGCCATGTGGAAGACTTAAGGTGAAAGGATGGGTATGAGAAGGTGAGGAGGGAGTATACGTGAGGGAACCTGGAAGGATAGGGCTGCTGCTGCTTATGCTGGTTTAGTGTTCACTGAAGTTTTCTCTTTCTGTATTTCTGAAAAGGACTGACTCAGGTATGTTTAGAAATATATTTATTTAAATATTGTACTCCTCTTGAGATTAACTAATCAAATTATGCTCTGCAGCTTCTCATGTAAGAGAAGGGTAAAGGACTCAGACAAAGAAAGGGAGGAAAGAAGTTTGATTTTTCATTTGTGAGCAACTTTTCACTTTATTTTTTATAAGTAAACTAGTCAGCATAATATGCTGTAATAACCATCAACCCTATTTTCAGTGGTGCCATTTATTTACCCTATGTATAGTTTTGCTACACTATAACTACCTTTAGTGACACACCATATCAGGAGAACTTTTAAGCAAGCTTTTGGTTAAAGTATTGCAGTTTAAAAATGGACACTGGTCATATTTTCCAGCATTCTACATCAGAAATATCTCACGCAAAGCAACAAAGGCCTTGACATAAGTCACCCTAAAAAATGCAAAAACATATGCTTAAGTTTATATCCTATTGTGTTAATTGCTGGCAATATTTTATTTTAATTTCCTTAATATGAACACAAATATAATGGAATGGAAAATGAAATGGTGTACTATGGATGTGACTGCATTCCAATGCATGCACTTTCATACTAGCCACAAGCCATTAGAGCATACTACTGGCTTTACCATAGATAATCTAAGGTCATGTTTGTGTAGGACTGTGTGCACACTTTTTATTGTTTATTTTGCAGTTTGGTGATTTAAATGCTATATCCCCTGGAAATATGGATAAAGGTAAGCACTCCCAAATGTATAATTTTATATAGAACTAACGTGTCTCTTGGAGCAAAACAAGTTCTTTTTTTTGAAAATATAGTTAAGTGGAATTGAAAGCTACATCATAATTTAAATTATGTGAATATTACTATTATATGGGTACAGTATGCTATACATGAAATATAGTATATTATAAGGACTAGAATACTCTAGGGCCTAAATAGTTAATTTTTTTTAATGTCTATTATTTACACAAGAAATTTTCAAATTCTGGTGAGAGAGCTGAAGGGGATGGACAGCTGGAAAAAGGAAGATATGATTTGTTATTACACTTTCCTATGTTTTCATATTTCATGTTATTTACAAAATAAAGCCCTTTGTATTCAGATTTTCCCCCTTTGTGCTATTTTTTCTTTTATTTTCTTTTTTTTCTTTTTTTTTTTTTTTTTGTGTTTGCAGATGAGGGCAGTGAACTTGAAAGTGAAATAGAAGAAGAGATGGATGAAAATGGAGGGCCACAAGCCAAGAGGGAGAAAACAGACTTAAACCAAGCATTTCAGGTGGGCTGCTTGCAGCAGCCAGTGCTTGAGAGTGGAATAGAGCAGAGCCTCCTGAACCCAATTCATGATGAGCATATTGTTACAAATACTCAGACTATCAGACAATGCAGTGCTACTGGAAATACATATACTGCAGTCTAATATTGAAGTGCTCCTTAACTGCATTAGCCTTGTTGATGCTGGACTTAATGGGGGGAGATAGGAGAATAGGTCTGAAAGTCATCTTATCAAATTTTAGCTGTGCTGAACATTACCTTTTATTGGAGTTGTGAAATAAAATGGGTATATGCATTTTGCCAGATGTTTAAAAAATTGTAAGCAAAATCATTTTACATTGGTTATTCAGTATTGAGTTTTTGTAGTTTCAAGTGTCAATGAAGACTTTTGTGAAGCTTTTAATGCTAATGCTTTTGTCCTCTTAAAATTAACTTTTTTTTTCATAGTTTAAATATATTTTAATGCTAATTATTTGTCATAATGATTTCATATACATAGATTTTTAATTAGATGCAAAATTTTTAAAGAAATACTTTATTTGACATACTGGATGCATACTCATTTGACAGTAGATGCATCAAATTTGTTATAAAAGGTGCTGTTCATTGAACAAAAGACACTATTTTCATGAGTGTGAGCATTCAAGGGGTATTTTTATCATGTTGGAGGGTTGGGAAGATCTACTGTTTTCTTTCTGTAAGGAAGAAGTGTTTTCACTGCATTTACAAATGCAGAATAAGTGATAAAATTGTAACAATGTGGTAATGTGTATACTGTAGGCACACCTAATTATCTGATCACATGTAAACAATACAAGCTTCCTTTAAAATCAACAGCTCTGGATTATATTTGCATGCCGATTCCTCTGGTTTTGGAGACTATTGATTCTATTTTGAGACCACTGCACAGATACATCTGGTTGTCAAATGGTACTGTAGTTAATAGAAACTAAACCACAATAGAAGTAACTTGAATTTTTTTTTTAAGTGTACATGCTACTTATGTTGAACTGGACATACAGGAAAACATTCCTTTTGGATGACTTTCTTCTATTCTAGGCCTGTTCCTACTAGTTTAATTTGCTGCTTTCAAAAATGATAATTTATAGAATGTAAGAAATGTAGCAACCTGCATCATTTTCTTTTTAAAATGTATTTCCTGATTAATAAAGTTAATTTAATTTTTTACAAAAACTTATTAAGGTAGTGTAACTGGCACACCTCCCTTGTACTTATCCCCAATTGCATTAAATTTTAATAGGTGGCTAGATTAATCATTGCTATTTAAGAATGTACATCAGGGATCGTTGTACCTCGGCTATTACATGGTGCCTTAAACAGAACTGAAACTAAGATTTAGTATTTTTTGTTATTTTTAATAACTCTTAAAATTTATTCAACAAGGTGTGCCTGTCGCTTTCAAATTTCCTAAGTATTAGGGGCAGGTTACATAGTCTTCAAAAAATAAAGAGGGTTTTATTATTAAGTGATATTTATATCCCACCTGAAATTGATACTAAAAATATTTTTTCTTGTTTCTAGTTGAATTTCACTTTATTACAAATAAAATTTGCTTGGGAACTTGAAAAGCAAAACTAGCTTTAATGCCAACTTCAAATCTTGTTAAAGTAAATGGACCATAGTCATAAGCATGGTTATATATTTTAAACTCTTGTCAGATTTTAATTTTAAAAATTCAGACTAAATAAATAAGCAGGTACATAATGCAGCACATATTTTCAATTTGCATATGTGGTAGGGTGTCAGTCTGATGCTAGGTTTTAATGATTATATTTTATAGTGATAGTTTATACAGTCCATATTAATTGACATTAAGCATCTCTGATTTTTTCAGATTATTTTAAGCATTTTCATGATTTTTAAAGCAGACATAAATTTGCTAGGCTAAAATATTGAAAATAATTAAAGCAAAAAAGTGAAAGAAATAATAACAAAAATAATTTTATAGAAAGAACTGCATTAAAAATGAAGTCTCTTGTTTTATCTAGTGTGACTGTGGATTGATATTTTTTTAAAGTCATATATACCAAATAGGTGAACAACATGTGACATGAACAATGTATTTTTAGCAAAGAAATTTGTTGCTAGAGCTTTCAGATGTATCAAGAATGGTTATAGCTCAACTAAGATGGCTTAATACTTTTTGGGGTACAAAATTATTTGTAAATTTCTTAGCAAAATTTGGAGGCAAACCGATCCTGCTCCATTCTATGTAGGCACAACTCCTACTTATGTCTGTAGATGTTTTTTGTCTCAGCAAAAAGTGCAAATGAGGTTTGTATTAATTTCTCTCTAAATTCACCTGTGCACTGAATCTTCATAGGTTGTGTTCTCCCAAATATCACTGCATCCTGGGTTTTTTCCCTTAGAAATCAGCACCCTTCACCAAAAATCCTAAAAACTAACCTATGATATATATTTGCTCCCTTTTATTTTGCATTATAATATTTTAAAAAATAAAATATAGTTGAATACCCAGCATTTTTCATTCTTAACATAGGGTGCCCTATGCTGTACTGATGGTCCCTATTGCCTGGTTTCAAATTTTGTGTTGACAAACTTGAAACATTTTTTATTGGTAAAATGTTGGATTTGTTGTTGCTGAAAGAAAAGTATGGTTGTAACATGTAAATCTAGATTGCTAAAAAGAGGTGGGACCTGAACATCTTCTGAACAGTTAATCACTGTTCATGTAGTGCAAAAAGAAAACAAAATATATGCATACAAAGATAGAATGCATATAATGGATTCTAATAGCAGTTATCAAAACAAATTTAAATTATTCCTGATTCAGATAACTGAATTAAGTTTGTATTTCTATGCTTATCAACTGATTATTCTCTCAAATTTTTATGTAATATTTTCCCCACTTTAACAATTATTTAAGTTGCTGTAAGCTGTTGTGCTTTGCTTTTAAATTTACTGCAATTTAGATCAAACATACACACATGAAACAATTTAAATACTTTTGATATTTGTTAATAGATGGATATTGTTAATGATTTGAGCACAGAAATATGGATACCTCATTCCAAATTATGTAGTGTGTAGCATGTGGCTGAATAGCCACTCTGAAGCCTGCTTAACTCTTACAGCTCTAAAGAGCTGCAGCAAGCATCTACTGTCTAGACACTACAAGATAAGGGCTTATACCATTTGTGGATTTTACCCAATCTTGATGTGAAATTAAAAAAATTATTTTAGAGTCGCTTCCCCCATTGGCACAAATTACTTAGTAAACACTGTTGCAGAATGGGAATGGGTATTGTTGAATTACTTTTTCAAAACATGGGGCCCAATTTTCACAAGTTTTATATTTATGAAAAGTTACATTTTCATATTTCTCATTGTAAATCAGTTTTTTAAAAAGCCCCCTCTTTTCAGTTATCTGCTTCTGTGTTTTATTATACTGTAGCATGCTTTGTGCATATTTTTTTTTATGTTCCGTTAAAAAAATTGCATAGTATTCTTTAAATTGTTTACTTGCAAAATTATGATGTGCAGCATTTCTGCCTTTAGTTCAAAAATGTGTAAAACATTGTGCTGGTGTACTGTCACTGAGGAATGTATAGCTTTATAAAACATTTCAGTTTAAACTGAAGCATTTTTAAATGTCTGAAATACTGCTTCTGTTCAAAATATTTTCCACGGGGGAAGACCTGACCTGATATATTTGTGGTTCTCACCAAATGATATCAGCATTGTTTGGAAAGACATTTATATTAGTTAGCACTACATTGCAATCTAGCTTACTTTACAGAGTGGTTTTACAAAATTAAATAACCTTTTATAGTCATGGAAAAAAAAAGGTGGAAAAGTAACTTTTTAAATGATGTAAGTATTTTTTGTACTTTGTGACAGTTATTTCAGAGGTTAAAACATTCTTTTAACAGATCAGTATAGATTTCTGAAAATTACATCCTTGTCTCTATAGAAAAGGAAAACTATCATGTCTGTGGTTTAAAAATAGGCAAATTAATAGTATTCTAGTATCTTTGTACTTTGGTGATTAAAAAAATAAAAAACAAGAATAGAAGAATAAATACAAAGTACTTAGTTTTAGCCTTAGAAAATTAATTTAATGCAAACCTAACTGTAATTACTTACGAAAGAGTAAAAGCCACTTACAAAGTGACTGCCTAGTTTTTGTTTGAGGAAAATACGCCTCAGTTTTATCATTTAAACTTTCCTGGTTTATTCTGATTTTTTTTTTCTTTTAAAAAAGAAACTCAGCAATTAAAATGTTGGGACTGGAAGCCCTGAGTAATTAAAGTTTTTGTAAAAATTGTTCTTCACTATAGAGAAAAAAGTCTATAACAAGACTATGAGCATCAAAATGACCCTCACTTAAATCAGAATCAGGGAAAGGCTTTTATGTTTTTAAGTGCTTCCTTGATCATGTTGCAAATGTCGTCAAGAATTTTCAGCACTGGGTGAACTTTAAAATAATAAATATTTGAAAATAATTAAGACTGTAGAGGGACAACCTCCCTTGATTTGGGTTCACCAGGTATATTTATCCATTATCTTTTGACTCTCTCATAAGAGGGTCTTTTTCTTTTAGTTTTTTTTTTTACAAAGAATACGAAAGGGTTCTCAAATACATTGTTAAAGTGATTGTTCTGTATTTAAACTTTAAATATCATATTGAAGTAACCCAATAACCCAATTTAAATGTAAAAAAATATATAATTATGCACCAAAGCAAGTTTCTCATCCTCACTGAAAATTTGGATTTACAGTAATAACCAATGAGGCTATTCAATAAACTTTGAGTGCCTTTCAAACACTTAGGAAATTTTGCCTCAGGTGGTAAACTGTAATTAGGTTAATTCTAGAGCTTGCCAATCAATAATTCTGTTGTCACTCAGGGCTTTCTTAGCTTCTAGAAAACTTACTTGGTTCCATTTGTTTTCTGCTGTATTTTTTTAAGGTGCCATCATTTAAATTTCACTTAGTAAGTGGCAGTTTACATTATTCAGTACCACAGGCACAGAAATGTAATAACACTAGGAGAAATTGAACTTTTGTTTTCCTATTTACTGCATACATTATGTAAATTAAGAAAACAACTTTTTTTTGTAGAAGGTGCATGTGACATAATGTAGATTTGCAGTTTTTTTATTTGTTGAACACACTTTTTAATTATTTAAGGAAAACCTCTTTACAGAATAATTTGATAGGGTTTTTTGTATAATGTGCTTGATTTTGTA